GATCTTAGCATTTCTGCAATGGGTGCAGATATTTATGGTATCTTGAGATTTAATTTGTCGAACTATGCTGGATTTCTGGCTTCTGTTCCAAGTCTATTATAGCACCGTGTACATGATGTTGTGTTGGTGTCATCCATCTGTTCTTTAAACAAAAACATCCGATCTGATTTGTGCTTTACCCAAAGAAAAGCATCTGAGTTACGAGCACGGCCATTGCGGGTTTAAGTCAAATGGTTTCGGCCTCCATATCCTTGCTTTCACCTTTACGATAACCGCACCAAACTAAAATACTGCTGGGGTTACTACCCCTGATCTGAGCTTGAGGGCAGCTTTGTAGATAATGCTGTGCGGCCTGTAAAGTGTTATTTTTTGCATGCATTGCAACTTGGAATTTGGGCTAGCTCAGTATTGTAGGTTTCAGGTTATGTGGCATCTGAAGCCACAAGGAAAGCATATGCTAGTTGAAGCTAAAGCTGCAGGTAGAGATGGTCATTGGAGTAGGTAAGCTGCCAACATTCCCTAATTCATTCAGATGAGATGGACATAAAACTATAATTAACTAAGTGAAAGTATAGAATGGGTATTGGTAGAAACTTCTATATTACAAATAAATATGAGGCTGAGTATGGATTTAGTGCAATACATATATATATATATATATATGTATTGCAAGACAGAACAAGGGGAGTAAATCACTAAATAGTTCTGTCTTGCAATACATATATAATTGAATTATGAAAATCTTTGGCCACTGCCGGCTGAATCCTACCATCCCTTTCACTTGGACTCTTATCAACATTTTGCCTTATTTCAACAGAGGAACCAGTCAAGGTCGATAATGGATTCCAAATCTTAACATCAATACGCCCTCTGTCTCAACATATATACATATGTGCTTTAATCTAACAGCGAATACTAATTGAATTTACACTTCCCGGATCAAGTTAGATAATAAACCTCTTATATTTTCTCTTCACTTTCCTCTCTCCCAAACAGACCCTCATGGTAAACAGCTGTTTTGTTTCTTAAGAGTATCTAAAAGTAGGTAAGAGGGTTTTAATTTGTTTCTTGGGTGAGGCAGTTTATGTTGTATTCAGATTATACATATCATATATATATATATATGTATATATATATGATATGCATGCAAGTTGTGGAGATTAAAAAATGTATGACATAATATGAGGCATCTGCTGAAAAGATACAATTGACAAGGAAGAAAGTGGAGGGACCTTCATGTTTCATCTGGTTGTGAGCAAGAAAAGAAATCATACCTGATGCTAGTAAACTAGTGTATCACCAAGTGTAGACTGCTTCACATTGATGCATATTTATGCCTAATTTAATTGCCACACACATATATATATATATATATACAAACACACACACTCTCTCTCTCTCTATACATACAGTAATACATATTTAATTACCCTTTATTAATAGTTAAATCATATATAATTAAGTATGGAGTAGCTTATCTTGTCATTACTCTTGGGTGTAGTCGTTAGACAAGAGCTATCAATCAACTCTATATATATATATATGTATATATATATATATGTTCATTAATTACCCATTTGTCAATATTATGATAACCAGTTACCCATTTGTCAAAATACGTAATTAGTAAGTAATTACATTGAATTTAATTACAAATGGGTTTTGTCAGAAAATAAATAAATATATATATATGTATGTCTATATAATAAAGTTATGAATGCATCGAATAAATTAGAATAAACAAATCTTTAAATATTATTTGAGAGTTAATCTAATCTAACTCCTTAATAATTATTTAAGTTTGGATCTATCTCCTTTGCTGATATATATATATATATATACATATATGTATTAAGTTGTAATTAAAAAAACTATACAATATATAATAATAAATCCCAAATGGGGAGAGAATCTCAATGAGTGAAATGATGGGTCCCGCTCGTACAATAATTATGTTTGCATGATAAATTTTGATGTATTAAAAATAAATTAATTAATTATAAAGCAGAAGATAAGCCAAGTTTTTTTGCAATTTAAAAAGCTGAGTCAGTCCATAATTACTCAAATTATTATTTTTAATTATATCATTAAGAAAAACTAATCATAATTTAAACAAAAATCAATTCTACAATCTCATCCTCTCTCTTATCACTATCTGCATCTGAGAGGGTTCCCAAAAAAAAAAAAAACAAAATTACAAAAAAAGAGAGCCAAAAAATTAATCTGGCAATCTTTTTATCCTGAAAAAAAGAAGAGAAAAACAATATAAATCTCATTGTTCGTCTGATCATATAATTATTTTATGGATCATCATCATCACCATCACCATCTTCATCAGATTCTTAATTCTCCATTCCATCTAGTAGCATTTCTTGGTACCTGCACTCCCTACTGCAAAAAGCTTGCTCCCCTCTGCAATTTTTAATTAATTTCACAAAAATTTAATCAAAAAGCAATTTCATTACATATACATAGTGTGTGTGTAGAGATATACGAAACAAAAGCAAACAGAACTTGATGATCGTAAAAAGAAAACTTCACTCGTTGCTTTCTCTTTCATAATAAAAGTTGGAATCATCTACAGTTTTGATTTTTTTTTTTTTTTTTAGTAAACCCAATAAGATATGTTATGTGATTAATTTCTTCAAGATGACACAGAAATCATCAAACCCATAGAATTAAACAATTAATCCAACTGACCCATTTCTTCAAGCAATCAAATTCTCAAAATCAAGCTAAGAAATTGATAGGATTGTAATCAGATACTCTGGAGTTTCCAAGAAGAAGCAATTTACAGAAGTAAAAGATTAGGGGAAATGAAGTGAACCTGTAGATGTAAATGTCGTCTTTCTGGTCGAGATTCTTCTTGCATGTGTAGCAGAAGCTGAGAAAATTATTGTCAGATGCAGGGCTGATAGACTTTTCTGATAAACAACGGTAGGTTTCTTCAACGACGCAGTCATCAAAAATATGAGTGGTTTTTGGATTAGGTCCGTGGGAGATTACACAAGTATAATCCTCAGAAAGCTCCATTTCACTCACGGAAAGGGGACGAGGAGAGAAATCTTTCACCGTCTGGACTCCTGTATTTCCAGACCCAAATCCAGAGTTCCTCGTCTTGATTCCAAAATCAGCCGGAGATCTTGGCGACTCGGAAGGGGAGATTGTGGAGGTGGGTGGCAATGGAGGTATATGGACCCTGAGTTTGGCTCCAAACAAGACCATTTTACTTGTGGGTCTTGTAGAATCATTGTCTTCTTCGATGGGTTTGTCATCGATGAGAGCTAGACAAATGCCTTTTGGGTCTAGTTTTTCAAATTTATCTGGAACAGATTTTGGGGATTTAGGTTGAGAATCTTGCAAGAAAGGATTGTTGCTTAAAGGAAAGAGTGTTTGTTTGTCGAGAATTGAAGTTGGGCTTTTGAGGGATTCGGTTTCAAAGAGAGTTTTAGCAGTGAAAGCTTTGAATCTTGGGGAATTGAAGAAGGAAGTAATGGGTGTTGTGTAGTTTTTTGTGGGTGATGGTGTTGGACTGTGATGATCAGCCATTAAAGCTTGCTTGCTGGTCACTGCTCTGGATCTATTCCTCAGCATAACTGTTTGGATTATTTCTGGTAATTAATCTTCAATTTCTGCCATGCAAGGAACAAAATCAGAGACTTGGGTAAAACAAACAGTTACCCAAAAAATCAAAGAAAGAAAAAACACATGAATTACTCACCTGCAAAAATGAGTTAAACCCAGCACTCCAATTTTCTTTTTAGCAGAGGAATCCAGGAAGGAAGAAGAAGAAGAAGAAGAAGAAGAAGAAGAAGAAGCAGAACTTATACTCAAACACACAGTCTAGAAAACTGAAAGATATTGGTCCCTAAATCTCTGTAGCCTCCATTACCTATTGGCTAAAACACTGAAGAAGATAAACAAGTCAAAAATTACATTAAAAAAAAAATCAGTTTTCTTCCTTTTTCTTATTTTGGGTGCTAGTACAGAAAAAAACAAGAAGAAGAATCAAAACCCATCATAGTAAACACATGAATAGCAACAGAGACATGAAGAAAAGCTCTGCCATTTACGGTTAAAAAAAAGATATCTATGTACTCATAAACCCCCCCTGGTGTTTTAGGCATGAATTTGTCTTTCTGCTACTCCCCATGAAAAAACAAGAAAAAGAAAAACCAGTAATCACTCACCCACAATTAAAGATAACCTACTTTTCTCTCTCTCTCTCTCTCACTCACTAAAAAGCTTCATGGTTTTTCATTCTTGACACATATTTTTCTTTTCTTTTTAAATTTTTCTCTCTGCCAACTTCCTCTTTATTCAGTACTGATAGTTTTAGTCCTGGAGATCAGCACCAGCTTCTAACTTTACAAAAGAGAAAAAAGAAAGAAGAGAGAAGAAAAGTGAGAGAGAAAAAGCTTCGACTTTGAAGGGGAAGGAAGAGCAATACCATGGATTATATAAAGAGGGAAGAACTGCGGGAGAAAAGGAGGGGGCGTATACAGCATGTATGCATGATAATCAGTGGGCTTTTAAATTAACTTTTTAATAAGTAATTTGATAATTAATCACCCAAAATATAATTGGTCAAAACTAAAAGAAGAAAAGAGAAAAAGAAAAACGATGAAACGTTGTCGTTTAATGGAGAGTGAGTACAGTTCACTACAGTTTGTCGTGACTCACCCTGCTCTGGTTGTACTGCCATTGCAGTACAGACTGCATAGTTATGAAATTTTCAGAACTTCAAACGCACGCACTTGAAGGAGATGTTTATCCTGTCACACTCTCACCATTAATTTTTTCAAACCTAACCCTTTTGAAACTTTGAGAAATACATATTATTATATCTATACACTTTATATATACATATACATATATATACACACACACTACGTATAAACCTATACATACAAACTTGGCAAAACACTAAGTTTATAATTAACACAACCTAAATTTGAGACGTCAAAAGTGTACGATAAATTAGATTAACCTCAGAAGACATGTTTGGTGGCGATTTAACGTTGCAATTAAAGCCATTTGGGGGGGGGGGCCACGTGTGTTTGTTATTTGATGGGTCCCAGTCAAAGCTAAAAAAATATACCCGTTATTAAATATTTATTGCGTAATAAATTTTATTTTAACTTACTAAATCAATATGTAAATAAATTAAATAATAATTTCTTTATAAAATCGTAATTTTTAAATAAAATATAAAAATTCAACAGGGTAATTTTTCTTTTTTTTAAAAGAAAAATACACTTTCTAAAATAATATAATATTAAATAATGAATTATATTTTGTGTCATAAATTTTTGTATGTAAATTATTTTACAATTATTTTTTATTTACATTTGCATATATATTTTAAAAAATATAAATATATTTTAATATTTAACATTCTAAACACATTTTTTAATATTTATTTTTTAAAAATAAATAAATATTGAGCTTAATAAGAAAAAAAAAAAAACGAACATTTGGGTCCAAACTTAACAGAGTTATATAATATATATTCATATATATATATGTGTATATGTATGTGTGTATATATATATATATTGGACGTGATTAAAAGAGTTGTTATTTTACGTCAAGTTAATCAAAATGTATTATGATAATTAGGTAGATTAAGTTAAAGTGAGGACAAGCGCAGAGTGCAAACGGCGGGTCCCACCAATCATGTATGATTATTTTTTATCTAATGATTTGATAAGAAACTTTTGGGGCCCACTTCGGGTAAACAGGAGCAGGAGGAGCCCGATTAACATTTGGGAGTGGCCCCCACAACACACTAATTCCCACTAGTTTTATAAATTATTCCGACCCCGTTGTGGGTCCCGCAAGTGGGCCCCATTCCTCCCGCTTTATTATTGACGTAACTGACCCGGACCCAATTGCGGGGCCCACTATCCCCGTGGGCTATGCTACCGCTATCTACACTCGACATTTAGTTTTGTAACAGTCTCCTGCTTTTCTTTCTTAAATTGGAATCTTTTTTTTCTTTTTTCAGAACTGTTATAAATACTATAATTAATGTGATTTTTTTTAAAAAAAGATATATATATTAGTTATATATATATATAATATTGTACGATATTATATATGTGTATATATTATAAATTGTATAGGACATCATGACCACATATTTAGTAACAGTTTTGGTAAAAGCATGGGTCATTATACCGTACTTAATTATTAGGGTTCCATAGGAAAAGATATTATATATATACATACATATACATATATATATATATCATTAGTATGTTAAAAATGATAAATGTAAGTTAAAATCATAATTATACAAGTACAATATATTATGAGTTAATATTAAATTAAATTAAATATAAATCCTTAATTAATTAGTGTTATAAACTATAGATATTTTCATAATATAATTATTTTATCCGAGAGCAAAAATAATAATTTAATGACATATGATGTTTTTTTATTGACTTTTTATGAAACTGAATGATACATCAGATGTCACGTGACGTTAAAAAAATTTAATATAGACAAGCTCAAATTGTTGCATAAATTAAAAAAATAAAAAGACTAAATTTGTGTTCGGTCCCAATTATCGAAACATGTCATTGGAGTCTTCGTTCCGTACGAAGAAAGGAGGATACCAGAAGCTTTGGTAAAAGCGATAGATGAAGCCGAAGACGCATGAAGCAAAGGTGTGGTGAGGAAGAAGAATGTTTATGATGATGACGAGACATTCCAAATAGGCAAGAGCAACATACGAAGCATATGACCAAGACTCGGAGAGAAATTTAGAGGAGTGAGTTGGCACAATCAAGAACAGAAGAATTTGGTTTGTTGAGAACGCGTTATATCATTTGAATATTAGAGAGAATTGTTATAAAAAGGAAAGTTTTCTGGAGTTGAGGGGAGAAGGGGGGGAAATAGGTGAGTGTTACGAGATTTTATTAGGTTTAGATTGTGTAAAAACATTAGGTTGGAGTGATTTTTAGAATTCTAATCTCGAAGTTTCTT